GTTTCTAGATCGTTTTGGTTTACATTCCCCGTGTTGAAGCCGACTCGGCAGCTATTATTCTTCTGCCTGATTTTTCTACAGCTATGTTGCCATGGTTCCTTCTAGGACCAGCCAAAGCCATCTTTAGTTGCTGTTCAGGTGGAAGATGCCTGTTTGTGCAAAGCCTTTGCTTGAATATTGACAACTGTCTTCAAGATCTGCCCATGTGGAAGTGCATCCAACATTTCTCATCAAACTTGTGTTGGAGATTTTATTATTATTTTTTTTAATCTGCATGAGGCTGTCATTGGCTTCCTCCTTTGCAGACACCTATGACTGTCCCAGGAAGATTGAAAGATATTAGAGTGGGACTAAGCCACTGAAAAAAATCAGGCCTTTTGGCCAAGGCCAGGTGGATCGTACTGCGTTCCGTTTTGGTATGAAATGCCTCGTATCTGTGCACCCGAATATTTTGGCTAGGCTGAGGGCTGCTTTGGTGGAGAGTCTTTCTCTGAGACCTGTGACTGTCACTTTCCCTTCCTGTCACCACCACACTGCTCTCATCAAAACCAGGTGCTGGTTTGAGAAGGGCCTGTCTCCTCCTCTCGGGAAGGCACTGCTTGCTGCAGCAGGAGGTCTCAGCAGTGGCAAATCCATGGAGGATTAGAAGAGCTTCCTCCCCAGGGACAAACCTTTTTTCACTTTCTGAATGTGTTACCTCCACTGAGCCAAGCTCTTTCTTCCGCTCCCATTTGGTTTTCCAAAGCTAGAGAGAGCCACTGGAGACAGAATTGAGAGGTGGTGATGTTGGACAGCTTGGGTTTCAGGCTCAGGGGTGTCGTACTTACCCCTGAACTGCCAAGTACCTGCCAAAGAAGTTGTCTCCTGTGGTAGGGTTCCTTGGGAAGGATACAGCTAGAGAGCAAGAGTCACTGCGCTTGGGACACCCTCTTTTTTCCTTGACGTTTTTGACCCTCGTGGCTAAACACGGGGAGAGACATCATTCCTCAAAATTAACAAACCTTGAACTTCTAACCTCAAAATGTTGGATAACTGAAGCCTGGACCAGGAAGTCAAATTGTTCTGTGGGAGAGAGCCTTGACCACTAAGCTAAACAGTTTTCTAGTAAAGCGATCTGCTTCTTTGACTGTGTGTAAAGAATTGAAACAAATATTTATTGGGGGGGGGGGGGGGGAGAGGGGGGAGAAAGAGAGAATGGGGAGAAAGACAATTCACCCAGCAAAAAAACCTTTGTTAAAGTACAGTTATGATCATAGATTATTTCCACACACTATTAAAAATGAACTTAGGGCTTTCTGAAACTCGTAAGTGCTATTTTCCACGTGCTTCTCCTACACCCAGTTCTCGGGTAGTTGACCTGTTTTGTCTCTGCCAACCATCGGGGACCGGCCGGAGATGACGCCTCCATTCCCATCCCGCAGGAGGGCCCAGCCCCCCCCCCCCCCCCCCCCCCCCTTTCCCAAACACCA